ATGAAATTTCATGGGCTTTATCAATCATTCTTGCAAAAACAAAACAAAACAAAACTAAACAAAAACTGTAGAAAACAAACGTTCCCAACTTAATTAGTGTGATTTTAAAAGCCCATCTCAAAAAAAAAAGGCTTAGATGTTCTTTAAGGAGTGCTTGTACAAACATGATCTGAAAGGTCCTGAACTGTGTGCTAAACAACCATAAAAATAAGCAAATATCAGAAAGAGTTACAAAGGAGATGTTATGTAGGATGCCAAAAGAAAAAAGAAAAAGATTTAAAGCAACAAATTAAATAAAAACTAAAAAAGAAAACACTCCCCTCCTTATACTATTATCTGGATTAGTTAAAAAAGAAATTCTAATGAGCCTGATTTTTGATTAAATTAGAAGAATTGAAATGCAACCTAAATCATTTAGGTTACCTTGGGGTTGTGTTTTTTTCTCTCACCACAAACATGGATCCTTTATTCATGTGGATATTTGGGCAGACTACTGAGGCTGTAAAACCTAGATACCACTTTTACAATATTATAATTAATTATACACATTTCTTTTCCTATTTCTCCCATTCCCCAATAAACAGATCTTGAATATTTTAAACTACTTGCTGCAACGACATTCAGTCGTTAGTTAGCACATGATCAAATCCGTTAAAAGGATTTAAGAATACAAAGAAACTGAGTTCGCTAAAATGAGGCATCCTCTATTGTTTTATGTAATGTACCCTGACTGCTCCTGAGTAAGAACGGAGCTCGTCCTCCATGAGATAAGGCTATATCCTCACTTGTTGGTGAGACCAAATCCTACCCTTAGAAAATCCCAAATGAAATTACAGCAAAGGTAGTGTTACAAAGTAATTAACCGAAGCATTTTTTGAAGGTAGTGTGTGCACATTTTCCACCTCCTTCCCCTCTGGGTGAGCACTAAACAGACTGTTAATTTGCAAGTAAATTTAACCGGGAGAAGAAAATCATAAAATATAAAATGACCCAGTTATTTATCATCGAATAAACACATTTCTTAAATTCAAAGATTCATTGTTCTTAAGAGATTTTTTTTTTTAGTTTAACCCTTCAATTAGCTAAATTGTAGAAGAAAAAAATGTGAATAATTTTATAAGATGGCTTTCCAATTTGCAGTGATAAAGCTCCCAGTGTACAGAGGTGGTTTCTAAAAGGGGGCTTTCTTTTTTTTCTTTTTAAAATAAAGGCAAATATAACTTAAAAGAAAGAAAGAAAAGCATGCAGGCTCTACAGGCAAGGAGTCCACTTCCATGTATCTGTTCTCTGTGAGGTAACTCAATTCTCTTGTAGAGAAACATGCAAAAGGCCAAACAATATCCCGAGCCATACTGCACATGAAAATTTTTAAATATGCAACATTCAGAATGCACCCTTCACCTCTGTACACACAAGTCAATGCAAAATCTGCAGAGACAAGTGCCACAGTAAATGAAGTTAGGTGCAAGCAGTGATAGCAATAGTGCTCACCCAGTTTGTACAGTAATTGGCACTCTACAGTATTCCTACTCGGTTTTTGATTCATTTGCACTTTGTGCTGCCTCTCCCTGGGGATCTAATTCAATCTTTACAGAAACATCTGGCCCCTCCGACCTCATTAATTTCATCTTTTTCTTTGGAGGGTTTTTCAAAGTGCCCAGCCTCTCCTTTACTTTGTACTCCAGTGTACTGTGGGGAATCCCATAAATACTCTGAGCTTTGGAAACACTCATTTTTCCACTCATAACCACTGAGATTGCTTCCTCCAGTATCTCACTGTTGTACTGTCTGTAACGCCCTCTTTTCTTCCGAGGCTGCTTGGAGCCAGGGTCTCCTTCTTGATCCGATGTGGGATATGGCTGTCCAGAGGTAGACTGCTCAGCATCTGAGCCCCAAGAATCGGGTCCAGCATCTAACATGCTTTTTCTATTTTGTTTTGGAAGAATAGCCCTCAACTTTTTACTAAGCGCGCTCTCCGTTTGTGAACCCATTACCAAAGAGCTATAGCTGTACTGATCACCAGTGCGAGATTCCCAAGAAAGATCCATTCCTCGAACTTGTGGTATCTTTAAATCTACAGGAGATGAATGGCTCACATCCTTTTTTCCATCTTGTTTTGCTTGAAGTGCCATTTTTGGAAAGGCAGAGTTTTCTGCAAGAAAAGGAAGGTCACTGATGTTGCTGAGTGCACCATTTCCCCTGAACTTCATACGGCTGAGGTTGAACTCATAATGTGGTTTTGCCCAAGAGGCTTCCCTGGATAATATTAAGTGCTGTCCATGATTCTGTAATCCAGATGGCCCAAGGCTGGCAGCTGTGGACAATTGGTTTCTGCTCAGTAGTTCTTCACTAATCTGCAGGGATCGAGCCAATGGAACTTTGAGTGATGTGGAGTGTCCAAAACCTTCCCTGGTTCCATCCTGTAAGCTTCTTGGAGGTACCCCATCACCACTCCGAAGTCCGTCTGGGCGGTACTGGCTGGGTCTCCCAGGTCGCCTAATTGGATGGAAGGAAACTGATGTGAGCAGGACTTGCACAGGTAGGGAGGGGTGGGTGAGGGGACCACTCCTTTATTAGAAGGCCTTGCTTGGGTAACATCACTTTGTGTTATTTATTTATTTTTCTCTAAAATTAAAAAAAAAAAAGGTCTCAGCAGTTAGTTTTAAAACGTGTTCACAAAAAAAGAAAAAGGAAAAAAGAAAAAAAAAAAAACCCAGGAGCTTTTTGGGCAAAGAAAAATTAAACCTGTCAGCTGGTCTCTGGTTGGGTTCACAAATTTTCGGAGAAAAAGTTTCGCGCAACTGTCTGAAAATAGCACCTTAATTATTAATTACAAAGTAATCATCAAGTCTCCATAAATCTACACAGAATTGTGATACCAATGTGACGTTACCACTAAACAAGTACAGTAATAAAAGAGTAAGCCAAATCACTTATTTTAATGCAACATATCCAACATTCATGACAACCAGTTCTAAAAATGGAACCATTTACATTGGTGGAACCCACAGATAATTGCTCACTTATCCCACAAACAAGTTAATGTTCATTATCAAAAATCAAACAACTCCAAATAACATTTCTTATTTTGCTTGGGAAAAAAATACGGCTACCAGCCCCCAAGAGGGGGAAAAACCCCCAAACCAAAATACCCAGCGCATGATAACTTACCACACTTCTCCATTTAAAAACACTATTAGTTGCAGATACATGAGTACCACTGATTCTCCATTTAAAATAATCCAGGCTTTAAGGAAACTATACGTTATTTTCCCCAAAACTCTGTTCCTTAAGTTCTAGTCAAAGTAATTATTGTCACAAGTATATAAATAATTTTGTAGTTTTCTTTATAAAAAACTTCTTAAAATACCAAACATCAAATTTGAAATTTTAAGTGAATAGCTTTCGAATAATGTTTAAAAGTCAACTATTTATACAAATTCATAGGATTTTCATTGTCACAATAAAGATTATCAGTGATAAAACTGGCAACTGGTAAAGCATGCCCAAGGAGAATTACATTAAGTAGGCAAAGAAGTGTAACTTTGCAGAAATAACAATAAACCAGCTATGTTCTCCAAAAGTCTACAGGGACTCTGTGGTGTTATCACTAAATAACATAAGCATAACAATGAATATTCAACTAAAAGATGGGCAGTACTGTTCACGCTTCTGTCTTCCAGAAAACAGTATCATGTAGGGAAAAAAAAACCCCTTTCCATTCAGAGCAATTTCACCATATAATAATACATGAACCTGGTGGCCAAGTTTAAAGTGAATCTTAAGCAAGGGATTCATTTATGCAAACCACACTCAGGCTTCTCTTACATGTGTTCTTAATTACACCACTCAAATTTTTTGATATAAATGGAACCCAAGGATTTGGATATTCCATTAGGATAACTTCTACCTAGTATAAACTATAGTGAAGAGAAGGGCTTAAGAAAAAAGATAAACTATGCAAAATAAATTAAATTAATGCTATTTTTAGACTGAATAAAGAAGAGAAAAAGGAAAATAATGGAATTTTAGAGAAAATAAAGGGCGCATTTTAGAAGTCAGAAAAGAAATCCTTCAATCCGAAGGTAGTTAAGTGTTAAGTTGAAACAGTCCATTTGGTATCTTATTCCTTTACCATTTAAACAGCTCCCCATTTTGATAGTCTAAAAGTTAAACAAACCTATATATTAACTAATTTAACTCACTGAAGTTATTTTACATTATCCAGATGCAATTAATTTTTGGTCACAACACATTTTGATGGAAATGCCTTCCTAATGTGGCATCTAACTAACTTTATTAATACCTGACTTTTCTCTAAATGGTTAATATGTAGGCACAGGGGGGAATTAGACAATTCTTACACTGTAAAATTAGGTGGTCAGAAAATTCACTTTCATCTGATAAACGATTATCAAAACTGTGCATGCAATGTCTTGGCAGCATAAGAGTTACTTGTCAACATTTACAACCAGTCTTATCTACTTAAAAAACAAAAACACAATTAGATTTTCTGAACTGCCACACAGAGTTAAAACTGCAGTTCAAATCAACAAACAAAACAAAACCAACAAGAAAAAAATGAACAGCCGACACACACTCACACGCTACATTAGAGATACTAACTTATATTGGAGCCCAATTTTTATTCAACATCTTCAGCACATAATACTGCCTTTACATCTGAATTCTGGAATTATTTAAGTTGGTGTCCACACTCCTAAATATTCAACAACAAAAAGTCCAAAGACGTTCTTGCCATATGCCTGATTATATACTATTTGTACTAAACTGGCACAGTTGATCTATACCAATCAGTTTTAGATTTCAGAGAACGTGCTTTTACCTGATTGATGGACTCAAGTAATTTTATTAAAGGTATACCTAGAAGGGTATTACCCTCAAGGATTAATTTTTAAAACATACAAAAGAAATTAGCATCAATCTTTGATAAACTGTCCCCTATAAAACTGTGGAAGGCTACAAGTATTTTCCCTTACCCGTTCCCTTGTGTACTGGAGCAGCCTGGAGAATGGCTCAGGGAAGTGCTGCCAGCACATGGACTTTTCTTAGTGGACAGATCAAGTACACCGTCTGTAGAGACACAAAGAAACACCTGAGGATATTAAAAACTAGGAGGAAATGTGCTAAATGTGAATGGGCTAAAAATGACAAAGCAGTAAGTCAAGTCAACTAAGCAGATATAATAATCATATATTTGAGTTATGAAATCAATTCATTAATAGAATCAGGATATTTTTCTTCCTGAAATAACATAAATTTAGCAAAACTTGTTATATCTAATATCTCCAAGGGTTAAATATTTTATTAATAGGGCATATCTATTAACAAGGTAAAGCATATCACTGCAGATGTGAAGATGAAATATTAGAAAGAGCAGTTCCATAGTATCAGGTTCAGCAACAGAACTATTAAACTTCATATTCTAAATTTACCTTATGAAAGCACTAAAAGCACATATTTGGATTTAGGGATTTTAACTAATTCAAATGTTATCTTAAAATACAAGTTTATATGGTTAAATTACACATAAACTCTGTAAGAGAAAAGTCTGTTAAGATTAATCAGTTGTCAACTGTTCATAATGTGCATGCATCTTAATTATTCTTTGGACACATCTGTAAAAAACTGCGTATTTGTTGTCAATCTTTTGGGGAAAATCTGCAGAGATTCAAAATTCACTTGTTGATATTTATAAAAGCAGCTTTTTGTTGTTGTTGTTAATAAACTATTATCAATTGATGGGCAAAGTTTAAGAAAAGGAAAAATAATAAAACAGTCTTGATAATGATTGGCCCACAGAGGTTCAATGTCTTAGAAGCTAGACCAAATCCCAAATTCATGTTACTAGAACATAAAATTAGACAACCCTTTTCCCACAAAGATTTTTATTCCCCTCACAGACATGTCTAGAGAAGAAACTCACAGTTTGGACAACCTTTAAAGCTGTCATCCTGTCCAAAATTAACAGAGCAAGATAATACTCAATGCACCTCTGATTTTCAGTTGACGAGTGGAGATGCTTTGCTATCTAGTTACGTTAAAAACTGCCCCAATACTTGCATTAAACCCACTTAGTGCTTGTGTCTGAAGACACTGCATCTCCCTATTTCAGGCTGTTAAAAATAAATATGTGATTGGGTTTATAAACCAGAAAAGCCCACACTCATACAGAGTAAGTGTTGTCCCTTGAGAGTCACCGGTATTTCTAAATATATAATTGCTTGTTAGATATCTAATAAGCAAATATACTAATTAAAATATTTCCAACCAAAGACAGTATTATTTAAAGACCTCTAAGTCTGTCTAATCAAATAGCAACATATTGTAACTCTACCACTAAAAGTATTATAATAAGTTGAAAACACTAAATTCACTTAGAAAATATAATTTAAAAATTTTTTTCATTTGAAGACCGCATACTATAATCCTATCATCTGGTTTAAATTTCTTTTCCTGAGTGCGTGCTGTCAAAACAACACATCTCTTAAGCATAACCAGTTGTAAGAAGTTAGGCTAAGTGGTATCTTTGTATGTTAATCTCCATTATTAATACTTTAAATACAATCTGTCATTCTCCTACTGTAAACCTGAAGCTTTTAGTGTAATATTTTGAGCAAAGAGATTTTAATAAAAGCCACCAATTTGGTAAAGGAAACAATCCTCAATAAAACAGAAAAAGAACAACCTTGCAAAGGTGGTAACCAAAGGTAGACTAATGTGAAGATAGAGCAACTAGGAGGTCTTGTGCTAGGAAATCTTAAAACTTAAGAGATTCTGATTGTTATTCACTATAGGGAAACAGAAAAAAGGCAAAGGAACACTAATTAAAGCCAATCCATTAAGTGCAAACCATTCATAAATTACTTACAATAAGCAAAAGAAAGTCCTTTAAAACAGGCTTTAATAAGAATTAAATTTATTTACTTTGCAAAATAAACATGTATTTCTCACCAATCAATTCACATATCTCATAACTTTTCTGGATACTCTTTATGAGATTTCTATGACAAAATCTCATTAGTACAGGCATCACCAATTTAAAATTTTTAGTTGTTTAAAGGCAGAGATGAAATGCTCATCTTTGTGAAATTAAAGGTAAAATAAGGTCGCAAAGCAACAGAAATGTTTAATTTATTTAAGAAAGTAAACTTTTCAAAGACTCAAGAAATATTTGCTAAACGAAATTGATAACCTCTTAACCTACTACTTAATTAGAATCCTTACCAACAAATTATTTGGAAATACTTGTGAGTTAGCTCATAATACAGTGCATGTATAAGTGTATGCTTTTGGGTATCTATAAAATACTGAATACATCTAACAATCTGAAGTGTGTCTACTGTCTTCTCATTAATTCTAACCTTAAGGGTTTCTTTTCAAACTGCAAATACTTATTTTTGTGTTATGATCTCATTTGCAGAGTATAACTTCTTTCTTCCTAGTAAGACATGTTTATTTTTCTGATAGGTGCTAATCCTAGAACATTAATGGAGAAGCAAAAAAAAATTTTCATAGGGCTTTTTAAAAACAATAGACATGACAATGTTTTGGAAAGTATAAAATGCTTATATAAATATCACGTAACTTAAAGATCAATAACAACTGTAACCACCTAACTTTCCTGGGTAGTACGTAAATCGTAACTATCAACTACTGATGGGCAAGGTAGCCACTTTATATGAATTTCTCTATCACTGTATAGTCAGCAATAATTTAAGAATTGCATTAGTTTTTATCCTATTATTTCTACTGGTGCCCTACTTGCCAACACTTTTTCTCTCCCTGAATTATAGTATTGATTGGACAGAGACCTTGACATCAAACCATACCTTGTTCGCTAGGTTCTGACTGAGACTTTCTGACAGTAAGGTCCAGAGGTGAGTCTTGGTCAGCCATGAGAAGTTTGCTGAGCACAGGGTTCTGAGTAGTTGCAGCCGTGGGAGAGGTGGTGACTGGAGATGCTTTCGGCAGGCTTTGGTTCTTTGTGCTATTGGGCTGGCTGGGGTCCTGAGTAGAGCTATTTTTTGAGGTATATTCAGCAGCAAATTGTTGGATCATTCGCTGCATGATCTCACGGGCCACTAGGGGAATATTGGGGTCGGAGACCCAGGGACTGTCTGTAAACAAAGATTTATTTACTTTTAAAGTGGGACAATGTACTAAAAAAAAAGATAACTTTCAAGCAAACATAAAATTTCATTTTTTTCTAAAAATGCAATATCCTAAAATAGCATTTCCTCATCGTTTTATTTTTCATCTCTAAGCTTATAAGCTGCAGATTTTAAAAAAATAAAATTTTCATAAAATTAGTTCTAAGCATTCCCCCAGGATTATGAAAGCAAATAGAAGAACAACAAATAGCTTATCTTTTGGGCAAGAATCACTTACCTGATAGAGAAATCCCCAAACATTTCTTTTATTAAATAATTACTTCCCTATTTACCACCTATTTGATCAGCTGTCACCTAAATTTCTCCTCAGTAATTTCTTCCTAAATTGCTCAAGTACGGATTACTCAGTTCATGAGTACTGATTTTACTTTCTGTTTTTAAAACTGAAGGTATACCGAGATTATAAAAGGAGACACTTAATATTAAGACCCATGATAGGCTAGGCCAGTAATTCTCACACTTTTTAATGTTCACTAGAATCACTCTGAGGGCTTGTAGAAGCAGAATGCCAGGTCCTGATCCCGCAGTTCTAGGGTGAGTCAAGGCATTTCTAACATGTTTCTCGATACTGCTGGTGGAGGGACCACAACTTTCAAATCCTTGAGCTAGAAGTTTAAATGACAAATCTTGAAAGCCTAAGACCCTGTATTTTCTATGAGTTAAGTACACTCTGCCAACCACTGAAAATAACAGCTAGGGAAGTGATAAAATAAACATCTAAATTACCAATTTGTAATTAATTTTAAAATAAAAATTAACTCTGAATTTTCAGCACTGGAAAAAGACCCTGAAGGTCAAACGGGGTACAACCAAAGAGAAAATGTTTTGTGTAAATATACTGTCATCACCTCTTTAACCTTATCACATTATCAGGGAGTCTGAGCTTCCCCAGAGATTATGTTTGTGTACCACTATAGATTCAGTACCTATTCTTGCCTGCTGTAAAGTATGCATTCACAGTAGTTAAGAAATGAATGGAACAATCAAATCAATTACCATCAAATAGTTTTAACAAATGAAGGAAATGGAATCTAAAGAGCAAGTGGCCTCTTCAAATCTGTATTGATGGTTAGTGGCAGACCCCTGATTAAAACTCTCCCCCTGCGACGGTAATGCTCCACCTGTGATCTTTACTTCCCCACCACGCTTGTGAGGCTTAAAAGATAAGTTCTCAGAAAACCTGTTTCCTTGGTCTTTCAAAGACTAACTACAGAAGGTGGAGCTGTAAGGAACTTAGGTTGATTTATAAATTTAGAAAAAGCTAACTCATTACTAAAATTTAGTATCGTCACAAAAAAAACCCAACAACAACAAAACACGTGCACACAAGTCACACCTCAAAACCTTACTGGACTCCTAAAAACAATTTTTTTCTGAGGGACAATATTCAATAATACCAGAAGATGATTATAAAGTCAGGGTATTTATTTAATTCTCTGCAGTTTAACAGGGTTTGTTCTACCCATAACAACCTTTTTGTTCTACTAAGAAGTATTTTCCACTCTAAGTTTCAACTCTGTAAATAGAGACTGAGAGTATGCTAGAGGGTATGGAAATAAAGGTACTCAATTAGTTAAGATTCAGAGGTTAATACAATCACTAACAATGGTTCCTTAAATGTTTTAATAAACATTTTAGCCATACATTGCTTTCTAAACCTTTCTACCGAAAGTTTTCTTATTAATATTCATTTAACTTTCCACTAAGATCCATTTTTTTAAATAGCACACAACCCGCCAAATGAAAGACTATCTATAAAGTTTTGATTTATTTAGTGTTATCTTTTTCCCCCTCAAAAGCTGAAGAATATGTAATATATAGTTTCCAAATAGGAAGCAAAATGAGGTAACTTATGAGATGTCTCTGTATTTAACTAGACTTAGATTAATAATAATAATTAGAGATTCCCAAGAGTCAAAGATTTTAGGATAAACACCACAAACTGCTACCTTTGAGCTTTAAATGGCTGTAGGATATTTTGCCCTTCGTTAAATGAATTACAATTATGAAACACAATTTGTGTTTATTAATTGATGACATTTCTGCTATTTGAATTTCTGTATCTTTTGAAAGCTGCTTGCTCTTGCCAGGTAGCCGACTTGATTGGAGTGTCATTCCAATACACTAAGGTTGAGGGTTCGATCACCAGTCAGGGCACATATACGAATCAACCAATGAAGGCATAAATAAGTGGAACATAAATCTCTCTTCTTAAATCAATTTTAAAAAAGTTTCTTGAACATTTTTCATTTCTGACTTAAAACACTATACCTATAAGCCATGTCTTGGGGAACATGTATAATTAGAGTCAAATAAAAAATAAAAAATCAGATCAAAATTAAAACTACATAAAAACATGTAAATGCTGTTTCACAGCCACCTCTATGTTTTAATAATGGAACGCTAACTTTTAGAAAAGTGTCAAATTACCTGAACACAATGACAAAACAAGGTGAAAAGAAATGTGATCATGACAGTGGTAGAAGGTATAGTGTCCTTAAATAAACTCTGTACCACAAAAGTCTACTTTTATGGCATTAATGTTTCTATCTAGTGATATATAACCTTTTCATACTCAGTTACTTATAACATACAATTTGCAATACTTGGAAAAAAAGGACTAAATCCAAATATTTGAATTTATTTTTTTAATGAAAAAAAAATACTCTGACTATAAATTGTAATATCTCTGGAGAATAAACATTTTAGGCATTAATTTCAAGAGTATTAATGCTCATGTTTGATATATTTTGAAGAGGATTAATAAAACATCTAAAAATAACAATATTAATACATAAAGCAAGGCAGAATGCAAAACAATAGTTCTTTTTCTGAGCATCAGATGCCAGTATACAAATACAGAACGTGACATACAAATTCAATGAATTCTCATCTCTTGAACTTTATTCTAAGATTGATGCTAAGGTAACAATTTTTCCTGTTATGTTCCCAAAAGTTCAACTGCTAAATGAAATTATAAGAACTTCAATGTAAGTTATCCCTATATGACAAAGGGATGAGACCAGTGGAAAAGTAGGCTGGCTCCCTGTAAGCAAGCAGTGGATGAAAGTGGTTCCTCCATGCACATTAGGGAGAGGAGTTCCCCTTTTCAGATAATGACATTTCTGAGACAGGAGACCATGAATCAATACACAGCAAAGGAGTTTTAAAGCTACTTTATTAGTTAATAAACTGACAGAATTGATCTATCAGTCATTTATACTTTAAATGTGAATTACTTTAATAAAACAATCAAATGTTCACAAAACAACTAAGAATATTACTATTTTGAACGTAATTTTGGAATTCAGGATACTTTATTGAGACAATAGGTGAGTACCTAAGCCTCGGTTGGGAGCTTTAGGTCAGAGGGTGCAAGGGGGTGTTATTAAAAGAGAAGACAGGATGCACTAAAGATTTAATTTAGTGATAGTAGAAGTTGTTTTAAAATTCCACTGAAAACAATAATCTTGTGCAATCCTTAATTTTATATTACATTTTACCTTGTACTCCCTTTTGAAAATATCGATTACATTACACAGAAGCCCAGCTGGTCTCCAATTTTAATCAACCCATTAGAATCAGTCCTTATGAGGCAAAATATCAGCTTTCAAACTTCAGAGGGAAGAAGTGAATTTCCAGAGGAATAAGAGGTGGAAACTAGAACACTGAAGAAATATTAAAGAAAACAGAATCACTGAGTCTGCTAAAGATTAAAAATCTGTTTATTATTACTTTTATCCTCACTTGAGGACTCCCCCCCACCATTGCTTTTAGAGCAGAAGGGAGAGAGAGAAAGGATGGTAACAGAGAGAAGCACTGGTTGCCTCCTGTACATGCTGGACCTGGGATCCTATGTAATCAGACCGGGGACCAAATTCACAACCTAGGTATGTTCCCTGATGGGAATCGAACGTGTATTTCAACTGGGATGACGCTCCAACCAACTGAGCAACACCAACCAGGGCTAAAAAAAATCTATTTAGAAAGAATATCTTGAAGGTAAAGACTCTTTGCTGAAATGGATCATAAATGGAAGTTTCAAAAAGGTCTAGGTTGGTAAAAATTATGCTTTGAGGATAGAGAAATGTAAAACAAGCCTACAGAAGTTTCAAGGAGAAAGAGAAATTGAAAAATACAAGAGATCCACCTCAAATATGTGGGGGAAAACTTTATTTTATGATAATAATGGATTTTCTCCTCCAGTTTTAATAAGCACAAATATTTAGTGAAATAAGATTATATCAAGAGAAAATGCTTGCAAATCTAATTTTCAGATATAACTTTACAATGTCTTTCCAAGTGATATTTCAGTGAAAAGTGACTAAAATTTTATAGTTAGTTTTATGGTTATCAGTGATAAAACAGGACTGTTTATGTTAAGAAAATCTAACAAAACACAGAACTGAAACCTTACAATTTTCAGACTTTCATAATAACTTTAACTCAGAGTAAAAGGGAGGGAGCAGGATCGCCTTAGCCTATTTGAAATTTAGCTTGACCAAAGAAATATAGAGAATTATAAAGTGTATTATCAATAAAGAAAAACTTTTAAAAGTAACTTTTTAAAAATGACATGGAAATTAAGATTAATACAAGACAAGCAGATACTAAATGTCATTCTTTACTGGAACCAACCTTTTCTATAAAAGACTGCATTGAGGAACTCTTCTGCTTGTCTCTCGAATCGAATGATTTTTGCTTGCTTAAGCACAGCTTCCTGCCCAGCTCCCGAAGCTGGTTCATCCAGACCGACTAAGTGTCCCTGCAAAAATATTTGGTGAAATATTTGCACAAGTATCTTTCTCCATTCAATATCAAAAGCATAGATGAGAAAAAGACAAATATTAACAACAGATAAGACAAATCAGTTTCATATAATTAAAATACTGTTAAATTTCAAATCAGGATAAAATTTATCTCCACAAAAGTCTAAAAGAAAAATGAATATAAAAACATACTTTGGGTGGTTTTATCCATGTTTTCTGATTATGACTTTTGTTTAAAATTCATAGGTAAACTCTAGTTAAACTATAATTATTAAATGGAAAATTTCCTTGAACATTGAAGTATATTGGTTCTTACTATACTATAGCAGTTCACAGACACTTCAACTCAGCCAAAAGAAAAAGAAAAAAGAAAAAAGAAAAAAGAAAGCAAGATAAAAAGAAAAGAAAAGAAAAAAAAGATACCTTAAACCCCAAGTCTTATTTGCAAATCTTATCGGCCTTCCTAGTACAAGATCTATATTCTCCAGACACAAAACAAATATTTTAAAAGGGCCATTAAGAGGGAAAACTCAAAAAGAATGTATTTGAATTCACAATTCTGTTCCTGTAGTACTATACTGTAGCTTTCAAATCTTCATAATTTTATGAAATTAATAATTTTGTGAAATAGGTCAAAAGTAGCATTAGGAAAAAGAACTGAATAGTAGAATGTATCACATGTTTTAACTGTAAACATTTCAATATTGTATATATGCTTGATACATGTTTGCAATATAAAAATGTGGGGCCTGATCAAAAGTTTCAAAACACTGCACTAAACTCAGGAGACAGACAGAACTTGCTCTCACACTGCAGGAGCACAGGACTAGCTTAACAATGCTTTGCACTAACTTCATTCTTATAGCTAATGAATAAAGAGGAAACTATGATAATAGAAAAAAGAGTATAAAGAAAAGCAAAGTACATCTTTTAGTTCTTAAGTTCCAGTTCATGTAATTTACTTCAAATTACTGCAATATATCAACACATGCATTTAGTTATACGCATGTAATGGAAAACTTAAAAGTGCTCTAAATAAAAAAATGGGAAAATAGCTTGGCATAATGTCAAACAAGATACTGAAGGCATGTTATAATTCACAAATGATTTCCTCGAAGATTTTAAATACACCCAGTGATATTTGCAATCAGCTTTCTCTGATTTCCCCACCATTCAAATTGTGTTAACAGCACAACTACAATCTGTATTTTGTAAAGACACATTTAGCCTCAATGATATATTGTAACCAATACTCTAATATGAAGAACTCTCTTGCATACTCAACGATCCCTTAATATTTCCATAAAAGACAAGCTAAGTTTGTCACATTGTTTGAAACTTTTTAAACAAAATATTTTGTGTTATATTACCAAAACCTTTATTATAGCTGCATTTCCCAACATTGTCTCTCATGGACTAAAAAAATTAAGGAAATGACTTTTAAAAGTCAATCACAAATCATTTAATTGTGATATAAATTTTAACATCTAGACGGTATTAGAACAATACAGACATATCTTGGAGATATCTCATGTTTGGTTCCACACCACCACAATAAAGTGTCATAATCTTTTTGTTGGTGGAGGGCCTTGCCTTCAATTTGTAAAAAAAATACAACATCCATACACTACAATAAGACAAAGTGCAATAAAACGAGGTATGCCTGTATTAAACAGTCCAATAAAATCCTCAACTGTTAATGCCATTTCATTGATCAGTGATTTTTAAAAAACAGACATTACATGGCATAAACTGTAATTACCTCAGTTCTACATTCAGCCAATTTAGACTTTGAACAAAATATTTATACTTGAACTATGTTTCATGTAGCAAACTACTTTCTAATCTAAATCAACAAAGAGTAACTAACTGAATATTCATTAAGGCAGGTGGTACATGTTCTTTCTTGAATCAAACAATTAACAATTTTATCAATCTGGATTCTGAAACAGACTATCTTTAGTTGGTGCATAGCAATTATGATCATATCTGTTTGTTTTTAAACAGTTTTATTGAGATAGAATACACATACCATACAATTTGCCCATTTAAAGTATAAAATTAAATATTATTATTTTTTAGTCTATTCACAGGTGTGAAACTACTGCCATGATCTAATTTTGGAACACTTCTGTACCCCCTCCCCTCAAAAAACACCCTGAGCCCATTAAACAGCCACTTCCCATTCTCCCACTTGCCCCAGCCTTATGCAACCACTGTATTACTTTTCGTCTCTACAGATTTTCCTACTCTGGACATTTCATATGAATAAAATCATACAATATTTGGTTTTTTGATGGCTGACATCTGTCTCCTAGAAGAATGTTTTAAATGCCATCCAAGTTGTGGCATGTAGTACTTCCTTCCTTTTTATTCCCAAATAATACTCCATTGTGTAACTATACCACATTTTATCCATTCACCAGTTGATGACTACTTGGATTGTTTCTGCTTTTTGGCTATCATATGAATAATGCTGCTTTTAATATCTGTGTGTAAGTTTTTGTGTGGATGAATACTTTCATTTCTCTTGGATATATATACTTAGAAGTGGGATTTCTGGATCATATGTTAACTATGTTTGCCATTTTGAGGAAGTGTCAAACCATTTTTCCAAAGGAGCTGCTCTATTTTGTATTCCCCACAGCAATAATAAGGGTTCCATTTCTCCACATACTCATGAACGCTTGTTATCTTTTTGATCACACCATCCTAGTACATGAGAAATTGTGTCTTGTGGTTTAGATTTGCATTCCCTTAATGGCTAATGATGTTGAGCATCTTTTCATGTGCTTATTGGCCATTTAAATATACCTTCTTCAGAGAAATGTCTATTCATATGCTTGCCCAGTTTCTAATTGGGCTATTTACCTTTTTATTGTTGAGTTTTAAGAATTCTTGACATATTCTGGATACAACTCTATTATCAGATATATGACTTAAAAATATTTTCTCCCATCTTTGAGCTTTCTATCATGTCACTGATACTACTGCTGGCAGTACAAAAGTTTTGATTTTTAATGAATTACAATTTATCTGTGTTTGTCATTTGTGCTTTTGGTATTGTATCTGAAAAACTAATGGCTAAACTGAGATCATGAAGATTTACTCTTATGTTTTCTTCTAAGTTTTAGTCTTAGGACTTACTTTTAGGTCTATGATTCATGAGTAAATTTTTGTATAGGGTATAAAAAAAAATGGTCCAACTTCCTTTGTGAAAAATCACTGGCCATAAGTTTAGCTTTGGACATCTAATTCTGTTCCACTGATCTATATACCTTATGCCAATAACACATCATGTTGATCACTGTACTTTTATAGTAACTTTTGAAATTGCCAAGTGTAAGTCCTTCCAATTTATTCTTTTATAAGACTATTTTGGCTATTCAGGGACCCTTGAATTTCAGGATCAAACTTGTCAATTTCTCCTAAGAGGCCAGCTGGGGAATTTTGATGGGAATTCATTGACTCTGTATATCATTTTGGGGAGTAGTGTCATCTTTATAATATTAAGTCTTCCAATCCACAAACAGATGCTTTTCCATTTATTTAGCGCTTCTTTAGTTTCTTTCAACAATGTGTTATAATTTACAGTGTACAAGTCTCACATTGTTAAATTTATTCCTAAGTATTTCATTTCTTTTTATGCTATTGTGAACTAAACTGTTTTCTTAATTTCATGTTCAAATTGTTGACTGCTAGTTTATAGAAATAAAACTTTTTTAAAGAATACTGTGTTCAGCAACTTTGCTCTTGTTGGGTGAAGTGCTCCACAGATGTTTGTTAATCCAGTTGTTGCCCGGGATTGTTCAAGTCTTCCATCTTTGTTAGTCTTCTGCTCAGATGCTCTATCCATTATTGAAAGTGGAGTGATGATGTGTCTGGCTATTAATGTTAAAATATCCACTTCCTCCTTCAATTGTCACATTTTGCTTCATGTGTTTTGGGGCTCTGTTGTTAAGGATTTAATTATGTCTTCCTGATAAACTGACCCCTTTATCATTAGAAAATGTCCCTCTTCATCTCTGGTTCATTGAAGTCTATTTACTCAGCAGTGTGCAGACTCTGACATTTCTCAGAGGATGCTGTCTTGAGCATGCACAGTCTCCCTGTCCTCCAGGAATGACTGTGGGTTCAGGTGGACTCTGGCTGTTTCTTTCTTGGGTTTTCCTTTTATAAGCTTCTGGCTGATTTGTCTGTAGTGGTATCACACACCCAGCTGTTAGCCTCTACTAATTGTTCTAGTGTTCCTGCCACACCCTAGGGCATAAACTGCACCACAGTCTGACTCAATACAAGCAGGGCCTCTTTGCAGGCGCAGGGTGTTGCCAGTCTTTGAGGCTTGCTCCAGCTCCAGGAGGGTTCTTCTTAGTTGTCTTTCCCGCCACCCCCCAACCCCCCGATTCTTTTAAACTTCTAACTTGTCTGCTATTTCATTTGTTGCTCTAGCATCCTCTTGATTGTTCACCACAAAGACTTTCACCATTTTCAACATCTTTTTCCCAGCTCTATTCCAAATAAAGTCAGTTCCCTTGGGAGAGCTACAGAGTTTTCTGTCCTTAGGGCCTATCTCCCCCTTCAGAACCTTCGTGCCACAGTACAAGAAATGAGGGCTGGCACAGTGTCTCACATATCTGAGTAAGATCTGTGCTCTATAAGTGGGGGTGCTTCTGGTATGGAGCTTTTGCTTCATGAATGAGGCATGGTCCAGGGCAACTGGGACCCAGTATTTTCAGCCTGCTGCACCTGGAATTAACTTGCACTCGGAGTAAGGGCTGAGTGCTAAAAGGGAGCCCAAGGCCTTTTGACCTTACCTCCCTAGAAGAAAGCTAGATGTATGAAAAATGCCCCTAGTCTGATCCTCCTGCTCAGAGAAAAGCATCCCTCAAACTGAGCTCAGGGGGGTGAATGGGAGTGAATCATGATTCAGATACCTCAGATTCTTGTTGTTCTGAGATTAAGTAGATTTTTTTTTAATAAATGATTTTCCATTTGC